TGTAGGACAGAGAAGACCACGTGGGTGTCACATAGCGCAGGGAAGACCCCCATCGTGGAGCCCAGGGCTTGAGGGGCAAAGGGCAACATGAGCAGGATGGAGGGGAGATCGCAGCCCAGCCCCACCTGGCCCTTGCGAAAGAAGTTGGGCAGGTGCTTCATGGCGTTGCTCCGAATGCAGGCGATGTTCTGGTACTGCCCAGGCTGGGACGCCCGCAGCGCCTGGATCCGGTCCCGCACGTAGTCCGAGACCTTTACCCGGATTTCCAGGCCCAGCATGAGCGTGTCGGGGAACAGCGGAGACAGCTCCACTGGACGCAAGGAGACCGGAGTGAGACCGAGAAGGAAGGAGACCGGAGTGAGCCCGCGGCGCAGAGACGAGGCTGCGAAAGGATCCCGGAGAGGGGTGGGGAAGCTCCCAAAGCAGAGCTGTTCCCAGCCGCCGGTCTTGGCTCCGTGCAGGTGAAGGAGGCAGAAGAGCACAAACCCAGGATGCCCGCTTGATTTAGAGCATACAGGTAGGTACAGACCAGCGCTCAGGGGGCAAGAGGCTTTCCCTGCTCCCAAGAAACCCTCCTCCCATCAACAGCCCCTCCTGGCGGGGGTTACCCAGCAAGCCGCCGTAGCCACAGCCGACATCAGCAAACTCCACGCGCGCCCGGGGCCGCGCTCTTTCCTCCGCGTCCTTTGGATCATCGTGACTGTCGTCCTGGGGCAACGGGGCAAAAAACTCGGGGTAGATCTCAGCCCAGTTCATCTCCTCGGGTCTGGTGGGGCTGAGACAAGGAGAGACGGAGTGAGAGGGGGGCCGGCGCAGCCGCCGATGCAGAGCGCGGGGTCTCGGCCTGGGGAAGGGTGCTTTACTGGGAGAAGAGTGGCACTGGGCGCATTTGAGGCTGGCGCAACCCCGGGAGGAGGAAGACGGGACTCATCTTGCCAGGGGACACGTGGACCCCAGGCAGGGTTTTCCACCCTTTGAGCTGCTCCGGCTCCCCTCCGGACAGCGCGCTCCTCGGGCACTGGGAGCGGGGCTCGAAGCATGGCTGAGCCTCGGGGGCTCCCGGGTGCGAGCGAGGGCCGGGCCGGGGGCAGGCCCAGAGGATTGAGGAGCAGGGCCCGCGCCCGGCCGCACTCACTAGCGCAGCGTGTGGTCCGCCAGGGGGTTGGCGTGGGCGCGCTGCCGGTAGAAGCGCTTCTGCGGCACCGCCATGGCCCGGCCGGGCCCCCCTCTTAAAGGAGCCGCCGCAGTGGGATTTGTGGACCCCACCCCACATTGATCCTTCAACTCCGCAGTCAGCCCCAGTGACTCATAGATGCTGGGGTGGGAAGGGTCTCTGACCCCAGCCCCATTGCTGTTTGATCCCAGCTGCCCTGACCTCTAACCCCCAGCCCGACCTTTGACCCCAGCCAAGGTCAGACCACTGGTCTCTGACCCCAGCCCAACTGCTCCAGTGACCTCTAGCCCCAACCTCAGTGACCTTTGACCCCAGCCCCCATGCCCGCTAAGCCCTGATCCTAGCGATCTTGAACCTGCCGCCCCAGCGATCTCTGAGCCCATTCCCCGTGACCCCCAATCCCGCCCCATGATCTCTGACCCCAGCCCCAATGACCCCTGGCCCCCAAACACACCGATGGGAGCGTGAGATCCATGACCCCAGATGCGTAGGACACCCCTCCACGCCCTTTGATCCCGCCGACCTCCTCCAGTCACATCCGTGACCCAGCTCCGAGGGCCTGGGCTGGGCCGACACAGGGCCTCGCTCAGAGCCTGGACATGGGAAACTGAGCCCAGAAGGGCAGGGAAGGGGCGAAACCGATGGCCAGAGCAAAAGAGGAAGGGAGAGGCCAGAAAGGAACCCCCCACCCCCCCACACCCATCCCTCCGGTTCCCACGTGGGGGCTGTGGCCAGGCCCTTACTGGAAGCTCATCCCCAGGGGGGAATTTTGGGTTCCAGGCTGATCCTGAGTCATGCCTCCAGGCACTACCTTGGCCCCAGGGATAGGGCTGTCAACACCCGCCCCTGGCGTCCGGTGGTTAGGAAAAGGCATGGGAGTTCTGAGAAGATACGGAGGGAGCGGGGGGGATGTGCGTGTGTACATGCGTGTGCGTGTGTGTGTGTGTGCAAGACAGAGGGAGATGGCCACATGCTCTGTAGGGTACCAGGCCCCACACGGCATCACTTCTCCTCCCCCAGGGCCCTACGAGCCCGGCCTGCCTGCTCCTCAAGGAAGGAGTGCAGCACAGCTGCCCTCAGGGAAACTGAGGCACGGAGCCATGAGCACCCCGCACATCTCCTGCCAAGCATCAGAGGCAGAGTTAGGAGCCTGCCTCCTCTCTCCCCGGGGTGGAGAGCCGGATGCTTTGCAGCTCAGAGAGCCTGGACCCCCACAAGCTGAGCTGTCAAAAGCCGGTGCTTGGGAAACCAGGGGGATTTTGACTCTTGAGGCTCTGAGAAGCCATCAGGTTCCAGCCTGGGACCAATCCCAGCACAGGTAATTGGGGAAGCAGTGACCTCTCATGCTGACGGCTCCATCCATTCGGATCCCGTGCTCTCCCACAGCCAATACGTGGCACCGACCCATGGATGCAGCTCCTGTCTCAAGGCCAGAGGCTGGCTTTGCTCTCCCCTTCAGTGGTCAGGGAACCTCTCCAGTAGCAGCTGAGTAGCACGTGTGACTCAGAGGCCCCTGGATTCCCAGTGCTTCCGTGGCACGTGACGTGACGTGATGGGAACCTGGGTGGCAAGAAGGGCCAGCGTCAGCTTTCTCAGGAAGATGAGCAAACTCCGCTGCATCCTATGTGGGAGGTAGTGGCCAACTGGGTGGGCAGGGGGGAAGGAGGGGGGTCTGGCAGCTTCTGATCAATCCTAGGGAGGAGTCACCCTCTTCCCCCCACCCCAAGTCCATCCTCTGCTGCAGGGGGTTCAGAGATCAGGGCATCTGGAGGATGAGCATCCATGAGCACACGTGTGTGTTTGCACACGCATGGACCCGTGCAGCAGTCAGGGAAGCTCCTGGCCTCCCAGATCTTCCACTTCAATTGTTCATGTGGAAGAATCCCCCAGCCCTTCTCCTTGCCAGGACCCCTCTGCTGTGACCTACAGTTCCTCTGCCTGGCTTTAGCCTAGCCCTTCCTCTCAGGATCCTCTTGCTGGGGCTTTGCCCAATCGCTCCTTCCTCTGTCAGGGAATTCCTCCAGAGCCTCTTGGCTGTGACTTCTGGCTCTTGCTAGAAGCAGACGAGCAGTCTCAGTTGTCAAGGAGCTCGGCGCAGGGCGGGAGTGCCGGGAGCCCATCAGTCAGCCGCGGGGTTTTGCAATGACCTCTGTGGTCACATCCTGGCCTCCTCTGCTTTGCTGCCACCAAAGTGACTCATGTGCTAATGAGGTGGCAAGTGGCTTCTAATTAAGCCCTGGGCATGGGGAGAAGGGACCGGGGTTCCTAGACATCTGTGTTGTTAGACAGGCAGGCCTGGAGTCTGTTCAGACAAAAGGGGTTTGGGGGGGGAGGGTGTATTTGAAGCTTGTCACGGCTTCTATGGGAAACAGTGCTTTCACCACGTGACTCACGGGGGAAGTGAGGGCCGTGGGATTGGCATCATGGGGGCTGACAGGGCATAGAGGGCTTGGTAATGAGAAGCTAAGATGTTAGGTGCTGCCCCAGGCAAGATGAAGAAGGAAGGGTGGTTTCCTGCTGGCTGCTGTTCCCAAGGGTCCCTGAGGTTCAATGACATCCCTGATCTCCACCCTGCAACCTTGTCAGGGTCTCAGAGGGGATGAGATGTCTGCCTTCCCAGCTACCCATAGTGGACCACTTGCCACTTGCACACATCCAGCCCCTGAGCAGAGACCAGGCATCAGGATACGCTGTGCTGGGGGCTTTAAGGTACGCTGGATGAGCAGCAGCTCTCATCTGGCCTCAGCAGTCTTTCCTGCCCAAGTGCAGGGGGGCTGGACCCAATGATCTCGTGAGGTCCCTTCCAGCCCCTAACATCTATGAATCTATACATCTGTGAAAAGGACCTGGGGGTGACAGTGGGCAATGAGCTGAACTGGAGCCAACAGTGTGCCCTTGGTGCAGAATCAGACAACATGAGGGTTGGACGGGACCTCAGGAGGTCACATCTAGTCCAACCCTCTGCTCAAAGCAGGACCAGCCCCAGCCCCAGCCCCAGCTACATCATCCCAGCCAAGGCTTTGTCTAGCCAGGTCTTTAAAACCTCCAAGGAGAGTCCACAACCTAAAGAAGGCTGTGAGGGTGGCTAACGGCATGCTGGACTGCATTGGTAGGAGCATTGCCAGCAAATCAAGGGCAGTGATTCTTCCCCTCTATTTGGCACTGGTGAGGCCACATCTAGAGTCCTGGGTCCAGTTTTGGCCCCCCCACTACAGAAAGGATGTGGGGAAATTGGAGGGAGTCCAGTGGAGGGCAATGAAAACGATTAGAGGGCTGAACAACGTGACTTGTGAGGACAGGCTAAGGGAACTGGGCTTGTTTAGTCTGCAGAAGAGAAGACTAAGGAGGGGCGGAGGGGTCGGGGAGTGTTAATAGCAGCCTTCAGCTCCCTGAAGGGGAGTTGAAAGGGGACAGAGTGGAACTGTTCTCAGTGGGGGCAGGTGACAGAACAAGGAGCAATGGGATCAAGTTGCAGCAAGGAAAGCTGAGATTGGATATTAGGAAAAACTCTCACCAGGAGAGTAGTAAAGCACTGGAACAGGTTACCTAGCGAGGTGGTGGCATCTTCATCCTTGGAGGTTTTTAAGACCTGGGTAGACAAAGTCTTGGTTGGGATGATGTATTTGGGGCTGGGCCTGCGTTGAGCAGGGGGTTGGACTAGATGTGACCTCCTGAGGTCCCTTCCAACCCTCCTGTTCTCTCGTCTATGAGGCAGCTCCAGCCACAAGGATAGAAAGGCAAGAGGATGAAGCCAGTGGCCTATGTGGAGAAGGGCCTTGAGATGGTTGCACAGACCCCACAGAATGCACTAGGAAGCCTTGCCCCATGGACGCCCAGCAGGGAGCTGGCACTGATAGTACTGGGCAGCCAATGCCAGGGTCCTGGGTCTCCTGCTGAGCACAGCATCGCGGAGGCATTGGAGGGTGAAGAGGATACACCAGTGACCCGCGGCTCTGACGCACTTTCAGGGACAATGAATGAAAACTTTGGCGCCTCCAGTCAGGCTCAGAGGGAACAGCAGTTAAAGAGTAACAGCCCTGGGACGGCTGGTGGTTGCTGGGGTCTGCAGGTGAGCGAGCGCGGAGGGAGCAGGACTCTCACTGTGACGTCCTCTGGGGGTTTGCAAGGTCAGGGATTTTCCTGGTCTTCCATCAGGCTCCTTCTGGGGGCCTCTCTGCTGCCCCAGTGCTGGGAGGTGCTTGGAGATTTAGGATTGGCTTCCACACCCCGGCTGGCTGGGGCCCACACTGTGCACAGCACCTGCCCCAGTCCCTGAAGCAGATGCAGTCTCAGACAGGTCAGGGTGGGTGACACACATGCTGGATCTGGCATGTTTGGTGGGGGAAACTTGGTCCTCATCTGGCCCCGCATGGATGCTAGGTGCAGCGTGTCCCAGGCGCTGCAGGCAGGGCCAATCCAGCACCTGCTGGTCAACTCAAGACCCCGGGGGCTGCACGATATGGCTCTGTATGGCCTGCGTGCTGCATCTTGGACGCCCCTGCCCTGAGGGAAGGCAGTATGAGAGCATTTGCTCTCCAGATTTTGGGGCCTGAGAACAAGGTGCCTCACAATTGAGCTGAAAGGCAGCTCAGTCAGCACAGAGACGAGGTGACGCTTTGCCCGATGGGTGACTGGAGCGTGGGACTGAGGCCAAGAGCATGACCAGACTCACAAAGGGGAAGGACACTGGTCAGAGAAGGTGGTGGAGACACAAAGCCTGGTGCTTAGTGCACAGATTAGCATGAGGCCTGATGCAGGGGTAGGTTATCCCTCTGCTCTGGACACTGGAGCCAGGGTGATGGGCTCCATGGGCCTCAGGGCTTATCTGGTCTGCCTGCATCTTGATGCCAAGTCCTGGATAAGCCGCCCAGGCCAAAATCTCCTTCTAATGCCCAGCTTCATCTCTGTGTTGTCCTGCAAACAGCTGCAAATCCCATTAAGCAGAGGCTTTGAAACCCATCTCCTTTCTGGGTCTAATCCCCCCCTGCTTAGCCCTCCAAGCCACTCTCCCAGCCCCAGAGAAAGTTAATTCGTGCTCTCACATGGCGCTAAATCTCTTAATTGGCTGAGGATGAGCTCAGCTCTGGCTGGTCAGGATGAAGGAGAAGCATTGTTGCACAGGGTCTGGGAAGCCTGTTGCTGTGCGAGTCTCATGAGTGTGTGTGGCAGAGCTCTAGTGATGGGAAATCCATTGCTACGTTGGTCCTCGGTGGGGACTAACGAACATGATGGGATTATAATAAATAGGGATTTATTCCTGACTGCCTCTCTCAATACAAGAACAAGGGGCCACAGCATGAAACGAGAATGTCGTCAGTTTAAAACGAACACAAGGATGTTCTTTTTCCCTCAGCGTTGAGTGAAAAGGTGGGACTCGCGGCCACCAGATGCTGTGGGAGCTGGGAGCGTAGCCGGATTCCCAAAGGGATCGGACATGTGCTTAGTGGAAAGGGGCATTGGGAGCTACTGAGCTTGGGAGTGATGGGCACAACCTCTGCATCAGTGTCCTAGACCCTAAATGCTGGAGGCTGCAGCGGGGAGAGGAAGAGAGGAAAAAACCCTGGTCAGGCCCAGACACTGCACTCTCTGCTGCCGAGTGACACAGGAGACGGGGAAGAATGGACCTGGCCCAGCCAAGGGCAATTCTCATGTTCTTTTGTGTCGGCCGCCGGCTTCCCTGGCGAGCTTTGGGGAACTCAAGCTGCCTCTTGGCCACCGGCAGGCACGGAGCCTGGAGTACAGCCATCTCCCAGATCCCCTGTGTTTCTACTGTTTCATTGACCGAGTTCTGTCATCCAAACAAGCCCGGCTAGGGACTGGGTTAACCTGTAACTGGGCAGCAGCATTATTCTGTGAGGCCCGGCAGAGGATCTGGGTGGCTTGCCCTGGAGAATGAGATGACGCACATAGGATGGGCCCCCTGTCCCCGCCTGTCAGCCCCCTGTCCTCCCCCAGTCACGAGCTGGATGGACGGGAGCCAGGCTGCAGATAAACAGCCAAAGTCCATGTGCTCCCGCCAGCAAAGTGACCCCCCAACACCCCTCCCACCCTGGGAACCCTGCTAGGACCCTGGGAGCTCCTCTATGGTAAATGAACACACCCCTCCACAAGCCCCTCTACACACACACACACACACACACAGAGGGCTCCGGCCACAGCATCCCTCTCGCGCAGGGCAGGCAGAGAGGGTTGCTCGGCAACCGCTCCATGGCAACCCCTGCCTTCCTCTGGACCACAGGTGAGCCACGGGAGACTCCTCCCCCCGTTCCGGAGCGGCAGGGCAACCGCGCAATAGGAGCGAGCCGGCGGGCCGAGTGAACCAATCCGCGCGGGTGGGAGGGCTCCGGCCGCAAGATGGCGGCGCCCAGGCGCGCGCACGTGGAGGGGGCTGAGGCGTTGGATGCCGTGTTCCCGCGGGACGTGGCGCTCTTTGCCGATGCTTTCCCCGCCGAGGCCCGGTACCACTTCTGCGGCTACGGGCTCCGCATAGCGCAGCACCACGGCTCCCGGCTCGGCGTGGCGGCGCCTGTCTGGGAGGCGGTGAGCGGGGCAGGGGGGTGGGGCAGATGGCGGGGGGGGATGAATGTAGGGAGTCCTGATGTGCAGGGGGAGCCACCTGGAGTGGGTGGGGGCCCTGGGATACGGAGGGGTTGGATGAAGGGGGTCTCAGAGTAAAGGGGGAGCTGGCTGCAGGGGGCCTGTCTGGAAAGGACTTTGGGGGAGGGCATGAGGGGGTCAGCAGGGAGCTGGAGTGGGGAGATGAGCCAGTGGAGGGCTGGCTGGGGTCAGCCCCCAGTGGAAGGCCAGGGCCCTCTCATGGTGTCTGTGGCTGGGGTGGAGGGAGCTGGCTTATGAGTCAGAGCGGGGGTGTCCGTGCAGCTCTGGCCTCTGAATGCCCCCCCTCCAGGCTCAGAGCATAGACTCCCTGCTGGGTTCTAGATCTGGGTTTGAGCCCTGCAAGATGCCATCCTTGTATGGTCCCTGCTACAACAGCTGCCCCCTCCATCTGTTCATCGGGGCAGGGGGCGACCCAGAGCAGTCCCCAAAGGAACCGCATCCCTTGTGTTCCCTTCTGACATGTCTCCATCAACACATGCGACCCTGTCCTCCATGCCACAGGCGCTTGCCCTGTGCCAGTACTTTGAGGAGCAGCAGCTGGATTTCCGGGGCAAGCAGGTGATCGAGCTGGGTGCTGGGACAGGCATCGTGGGCATCCTGGCCACCCTGCTTGGTACGTATGGCAGCTCACCTGTGACTCTGGGGTGGGTGAGCCACCAGGGGTGTGTTGCGCATTGGTTTGGGGGATGTGAGCCCCTCAGCATTGGATCTCTGGGCCCCTGCCTGGTGCAGATGCTCTGTACAAGGGGAGCTAACAAGATTTAGCAATGGGGCAGCTACCAATTGCCTCGGGCATTGGTTAACCCTTCCATACCAGTGGCAGAGATAGCAGCTCCTCTGGCTCAGTGCTGGACCTGGTGCAAGCCCCCCCGGGGCTCTTTCGCCCCTTCCAGGGGGAGATGTGACCCTCACGGACCTTCCACTGACTTTGGAGCAGCTCCGGGAGAACGTAGCCCGTAACGTGCCAGCGGAGCACATGGCTCGGGCCCACATCCGCGCCCTGTCCTGGGGCCTGGATCACGAGCAGTTCCCGAGTGGCTATGATGTCATTCTGGGGGCTGACATCATCTACCTGCGGGACACGTACCCACTGCTGCTCCGCACCCTACAGCACTTGAGCGGCCCCAGCTCCACCATCTACTTGGCATCCAAGATGCGGCAGGAGCACGGCACGGCCGAGTTCTTTGAGACGCTGCTTCCCCGGCACTTTGCCTGCGAGCTGGTCCAGCGGGACGAGCAGGAGAACATCAGCATTTACCGGGTCACACGGCGGTGAGGCAGGGGCCGTGCTTTGCCCCCAGATTTTAGGGGGATGGGTGCAGGCTTTTCTAACCAAGCCGCATCCGTAGTAAATCAGCATCCCTGTTGATCGAGCCACCAGCATCCACCCATGCTAGGGGGGAGCGTGATTCTGCTCTCTGGACAAACACAGAACTGGACCATGTTTCTGTGCCAGCAACAGGGAGCCAGGACATTACCAGCCCTCCCCTCCTGCATTGGGAGTGGGTGGATGTGGCAACCCCCAGAACCAGATGCCAGCTTTGGGGAGATCTTTTTGGAGGAGGATTCTGAGCCACCAGCAAAAGAACCTCATACCAGGAAAGCCAGACGGGAATAACCAGCATTGAACGTCCCTTCAGAGACACCGTGGTGCCTTGCATGTATCTCTTTTCTTTTTTTGTTGTGATGCTCTATGAGAAATAAAGGTGGGTTTCATGCCAGGCTTGGTTGGAAAGACCCTTGCTTGTGAAGGATGGGAAGGGATAAGAGTTAAAAGCCAAGGGCAAAATGACTAAAAGCTCCTTTGCATTCCCACCTAATGGTGTCACGAGCTCATGACCTCCTTATTGCTCTGATTAGTGTTGGGGCACTTGTGTTATCTCGTAAGAGGGGAAGAATGCGTGGCATCATGCTTCGTTTACTGAGAAGTGACTAATCTGGTTGGAGGCTGGGAGTGAGAGGGAGAGGGGGGGGGTGGGGGGGGGGGGGAGATGTTGCGGGAACTGCAGGCTGGGAAGAGCCATCGGGGGGCTGCCAGAGATGCTCTGGGCGGGGGATGCGGAGGTGACACTTCCTCATGGGTCTCGATTGCTGCGTGAGCTTCCCAGGGCTCTGGCCTGCATTCCGAGCACTGGGCCCCCGTACGAGGAATTGCTTCCTCCTTCTAGGAAGCCGGGCGGTTTGGCGAAGGACTATTGCATTTTGGGGGTTTGTGGTCGGCTAGCAAGATCGCAGGGACTTTCTCTGATGAGGAAAGCGCCCTGTCTTCCAGGCACTAACAGCCTGGCTGGAAGGGAATACTGTGGGGGGCGGGTCGTACATGTGCATCCAGCTCCTGCAGGAGCGAGGGGCTCAGAGCATGGGGCCAGCTCTGCTTTGCTGCGTCTGCACTGGCTGCCCTTGCCCTGCAAGGCGCTAAGCTGTGGGCAGGGGGGTTGTTTGCAGCACTGGACTTGGGGCTCCCTGGGGGATGAGGCATGGGAGCAGGATGCCTGGGTTCTGCACCAGGCTGGGGGGAGGCGGTGGGATCAGGATGCCTGGGCTCTATATGGGG